CGGTGGGGGTGGGGGGGGGGGGTGAGACATTTAGGACAACCTCTGCTTCATTTGCTCATAATGGGCATTAGTGCATTACCTGGATCAGCAAGCCCTGTGGTTTCCAAGAGGATATAATCAAACTTGCCCTTCTTCTGCATCAAGTTCTCGATGGCTTTGAGACCATTGTCCCTGAAAATGGGGAAAAAAACGAAAATGTAATGAAAAATGATAGAAAGAGCCCAAGTTGGACAGTATATAATATAATCGTGACTGAATGCATTAATCATTTAATGCAGAACGTCAATAACTTGCACAGCATCTCGTCACTGGACATACTTGACAGAGCAGCAGAGGCAGCCGTTCCTCAGCTCTAGCCACTCTTCGTAAAGTTCCCCCGCATAGCTCACGGCTAGGGACTTCTCAAGTGCGCTCCCTGTAAGCAAGTTGTCCATTTTAACGCTTTATCGCTCAATACACCTAACACCATTTATTATACTTATTTGTCACTGTTTTTATATATATACACCATTTATTATATATATATATATATATATATATATATATATATATACTTTCTGTATTTGTTGTTTGTTCACCCACATATTTGTGACTTGTGCATTCACTTATCCACCTACTGGCTGTTTTTTGTGCTCAGGTCAAAATAATGAAAGTACTTGTGGCATCTTGGTGCCAAGGAACTATGTCAAAGTTGAGGAGCATAAAAAAGGAAAAAAAAATTTAAATTGGTGTGTCATCGTGTGTCATATTCATGCCAATGACCTATGTTGAAGTGATTTGAGGAACTTCATCTAACCATCATCACGTAGCATCCTAAAACAATTAAAAACATTTAGATTTTTGGTGCAAGTTGCTCATGGTGTAGTGGTGTATTTGCCGGACTTATATGGGAGCAGCATGGGATAGGTTCCTACTCACTGACAGTGTGGATGTGGGTGTCAGCGGTCCTTTGTCTCTCTATATGCCCTGCGACTGACTGGCGACCAATTCAGGGAGGTAGTGCCCGAAGTCAGTCGGGGTAGGCTCCAGCAACTCCGAAGCGGTGTTGAAAATGGATGGATGGATATTTTTGGTGGGAAACTTTTCTTCGTTATGCACTGAAAAACTCACTTTAAAAGCTTTGCTTTGGTGTCATCTTGTGACATCTACAGGCAATTACAAACTGTTTTGAGTGAGTGTCGTGCCTTTCCAAGATGTTATATTAACTCTCCACCAAGTGTCATTCTCTTATAGAGGACTTGAAACTGACACAACTCCGAGGGAATTCAAGGCAATTGTAAAAGACAGAGAAATAATTTCAATCTCATTTTGTGACTGCGCCCTGCAATCATGTAATCCCATTCTACTTTTTCTGTGTCTTGTGTTTCTGCTTTAACCATTTTGATTTTGTGCTATTTTGGGCAGGTTACTCTTGGAAATTACTTTTTAAATCTCAATCATTGTTTTTTTTACCCAGTTAAAAAAAGAATATTGATTGATTAACTGATACAGCCTCACTTTTAAACTCCCGATTCCTGATCACCGACCTTTAGCGCTTCCATTCATTGACTCCAGATTAAATCACTTAGTAATGGATCACTCTTTCTATCCACTGAGCACCTGTGGCATTAGCTGACAACACAACTCCCACCACGAACATCCTCGATAGCGCTATTTGCCATTTAAACCATGAAACTGTATATTATACCACTAAATAATATACACACTCACCGACCACAGCATTAGGCCCACTCACATAATGTAATGAGATCGAGTGTAAAAGCTCTTATGAGCGAGCGTCCAATTGCACTATATCACCGTGAGCGTTTCAATTGATGAAAAAACAAAGCTGCAAAATCCTGAGAATTTTCACAGACTTTCCATGAATGTACAGGGAATTTGAGAATTTACGGGAATACACTGCCTGTGCCTCGACTGAATACACCAAAATCACGTTAGATCACCCGCGCTGCCACATAGACCTCCTTTTGCCCATCAAATATTTGGTGTACTTTTTAAAACCAAATTTGCAGATGTGCCGGGGGGGCGAGGCAGAAGCGCCCAGTAAGGTATTGCCTGTTTCTAAACACGCCAAACTAAATCATTACCCTTGCACGAAAATGACGATGCGCCTGCTTTTATGCTGACCGCGGACTACATTCTGTCACCAAATTATCAGGCGCATTGGGAGCGAGGTCGTTTCATGTGCTGGCCCACCCAAATGAGCGCACCATGACTCCAAACACGCGAGGCAAGAATTCAGCTGACACAAAAATGAAGTTTTGCCCGTTTTTACGCTGAATGTACGGCCAAGCAGCAACACTCGAGTTCATACTCTGAAGTTGCTTTCTGCAAATCTCACACACACATGCTCAATGAATCATAAGTCACATAAACCTCTTTTTCGTTAATGGATGCTACAGCTTCTTGTTGCTTTCAAGCTTATTGTTGTCGACGTGCGCACATTTCAGCATGATGTCTTTGATCCACTGGTGAAAAGGACACTTTGATTCGCTCCTCTTTCATCTATAACTGCTTCAGACAACAAAGTGTATGCAGGAAAGTAGTTAAGATTGCACGATTGTCTGTGTCTAATGTGTTGTCTTGTATTATTTTGTCATTTTATGTTAACTTTTCTTTTGATGGCGGCACGGGCACCCGCAGCGGCTCCTCTTGTTGTGTGTTGTGAGAGGGAAGAAATTTCATCTGTGCTGCACATACAGCACATTTGACAATAAAATTGTACTTGACTTGACTTGACTTGACTTGATAAATCGCCCACTGTTCTGTATTTAGTCTGTCAAGCTTTTGTGTTGTTCCTGGTAGTAGTTTCCTTTTGTTTGTTTGGCAATTCTCTATTGCATACATTATACTGTCAATATTATTGAAACACTCATGTTTGATAATCTTATGCTTTGAACGTTGTGGGGCCATTGACAGCTGGGAAAGGCTTCAGAATGCCCGTGATGCAGCAGCAATAAGTGGTTCACAAAATGGATGAATGGATGGAACTTTGTGGGGAGCAGTTTGGGCAAGGCCTTTTTGCGTTCTATCGTGACTGTGCTCTAGTGCACAAAACAATGTCTATCAACCTCTGACCTCACGCATTTGCTCTGGATGAATGGACAGAAATTCCCAGTTAATGTACTCCAACATCCTGTGGAAAGTCTTCAAAAAGAAGTGCAAGCTGATATATCTCCAAAGGGAAGAAACAAATCGCGGCTGCCATTTTTAACATCCTGTGGAATGGGCAAGTTTCCCAATACTTTTGTCCACACACGGTGGTACCTTGGCTTATGAGTGACGAGTAAATTATTTGCTTTGTTTTGTGAGCAAAAATTTCAATCATGAAAAAATTAAAAGTCAAAGGACTACTGTATTGTAGTTTTTCATTTTCTTCATGGAGGAGAGGAGCTTCTTTTTTTGGAATGAAAACAAGTGATGTGATGTGACAATCGAAAGGAACAATTAGACTGACGGTTTATATGATTTGTATGTGACACTGGAAACGAAGAACAGTGAGCATGTCAACTGACAATATTTACACACATTCGCATCATGTCGATCTTTGACTGAATTTATTAACGTTTCTTCTTTCCCTGTGCTCTTGTTTCCCCTTTCCTTTCATCCTCATTTTGTACTTGCATTCTTACCTTCTTCATTCTTGCTTTTTTTTCATCTTTTCAAACTCTTATAATGCATCCTCTCATCATCCTCTCCACCTGCTTCCCGGGAACCAGAGAAAGGTAATTTTAACTTTGTTTCATACTCCAGTGATTGTGCTTCTCCATTTTTGTCATAACCATGGAGTGGCAATTTGGCATAGAGAACATATTTGTGGATTTCTGTTTTTTTTGGGGGGGTGGGGGGGCAGGGTTTTTTAACAAATAATTTTGATCGGGATGTATTGATCCCTCTTTTTTCAGACCGATTACAAGTACTGACATTTGGGTGCTCGACAATGCCAAATACCGATACTTGATAATGCCATTATGTTATGCGATGGTGAGGTAGTTTTATTTTAGACAAACCTGTTTTGGGCATGGCATATGTTTCACTCAAATTTAACATATTTTACAATAACTTATCATTGCAACATGACAATCCTAACAGAATTAATCCTATACGACTAAACAAAACAAACAAAACAAAAAGAGTGATTACAACTGTGATCAGTGTGTTTTAACTATTCCAGTACATATTTTAATTTGCTTAGGAGTTCCTATCATATTTCTGTACAGGAAGAGATCAACACATTCACTTTCATTTACAAAGTGTACCTGAACGCACCTCATGCGGCTGTTTCCAGACGGCAAGTACAAACACGACTGGTGGCTGCACTGAACAGCAAACTAACATGAATTACTTGGCAAAAGGGTGATATGAAACAACATAAAAAACAAGCAGGTTACAATGAGAGAGCTGCTTTGAGTCATCTGCAACACAGTTTCATCCGCACAACACACAAACGACTGCAAATTAGGTCCATGTGGAAAAAGTCTGTTTTTAAGCTACTGCCCGGAAGGTATATGTCGGGCTGCTTATGTGGTATCGTCGCAGACAGTATCGGTTCATTTTTTTATGAGTATAGTAAATGAATAGTACACCGATGCTGCATTGACGCGATTGCTCATTTCACGGCTGTGAGTGTAGCAACAACGATTGAACGTTTAAAAACTAGCTGCTATCCAACGCGGCCACGGTTGAGGTCCTGTCAAGAAATTAATGCTTTTTGGTTTCTTTGCGAGTTCTCCTCCCCACGAGAGACAAGAGTGAAGTCACAAACCAACCATTTGTAGTGGAAGCGGAAAGGTGGCTCATTCGCCTCATTGGCACACCACTCAAACGTTCCAGCGGCTGCATCCACACCTCACACACGCCACATCGCACTTTCTCCTTTGGCCACAGGCGTGGAGCATTATCGACCCGTCGTGTGTGAGCACAATTAAGCAGCAACATATCCTGGATAATGGACTCATAAACACAAAAGCTTCTTGTGATGAATACTGGCTGGGGTTGATGATGTGGGAAATGCATTGGGTGATTTTTGAACATAAGATTTCTTTTGTATTTGACAATGATGGAAATGGAGTCCAAGTATGTTAATTTATGATGTCGCTGATGTATTTTCCACACAGTACAGCGCCCCCCAAACTATTTTTTTTTGTTTTGTTTTGTTTTGTTTTTTTTGCGAAACTTTGTTTCAGGTGAAGACATTTTTAGATGGACAGCATCGAAACTATACTTGTTAAGATGGGTGTGGTTGTAATTTGTGGGAGTCCTGTGCATGTTTCAAACCAGCTGGGCTCACCTTTTCTTCCATCGCACAGTGTGTTATAAGTAAGGGGATCACAGGCTGACTCCAAAAATGAAGCATTTCTATGTTCACTGTTTCTACTTAATTGTGCTTTTATTGTGTTTAAGGATAGACTCGCACATTTTGAGTGACTGTGCTACCCATCTCATTTTTTTGTCCCAATATTTCCTCACTCTTCTAGCATAGTACAGCAATATGCTGTATTGTGAGTGCTCCCGCAGTGTCTTAAAGCGACACAAGAGTCATGATGCCGGTGCGTGTTGTAATATGATTAAGGTTCTCATTATCACATAGTTGCCGCATGCATGTTTTTGGACATAGTATTGATGATAAAGATGGCACTTTACCTCACGCCACTGCCCTCGTTCCTCACCGCCAGTTCTGTGGTCCCACTGGTCTGAATATTTTAAGACTGGAATAGCCAAAGCCAATCAGGTTGATCGCTATTCTCACCCACCACCAGCTTATTTTCATATTGTCGATGTTGCCTTCAATGTTTGTTGTAGTCCGGTGACAGCAGCATCCGAGCCAGTTGAACGTCCTGTAAATTGACCGATTGGAAGATGAGATGCCAAGAAGACATTAATGGTTAGTTGATTGCAAGAGTTAGATATTGAGCGGAGTAGTGACTTCTACCTCTGGATACCACCGCATGGCCTCTCCATTTACCTTTGTTTCAGCCTTTGTTGGAAAACAAGACATCTTCCATGGTAAACATCTGCTTCCGTTTTTTTTTTTTTGTTTGTTTGTTTGTTTTGCAGATTTTGTCACTCATTAGTGAGGAGAATTTGTCACTTTTCTCCTGCGTATGTACGTGTTTGGTTGGGTTTATTGTGCCACATAACATGAATATTATGTCATTCCTGACCTAATTACGTCATTCCTTTCTCACTTTGCAGCAGTTCACGTTTCTTCAGTTGCACCGTGACAAAAAAAAGGGATAGGAACCGAGCCCTGCTGAAAAAAAATCAGCCAATAACGCCAGTCCCAAAAGGTTTATAATTGCCTAAAGGTTCCATAAGTCGATGTCAAAGGGCTATTTTTCTTTTAGATCGTGCTTTGGAAGTGCCTGCCCTCATCTCATAGTTCAGGGGGAGGGAAACCGGAGTTCCCCCTCGAGAGCCATATCCTGCCTGTTTCAGATTCCTCCCTACTGCGACACACCTGATTCAAACGATCAGCTCATCAGCAAGCTCTGTAGAGGCCTAAAACGGTCATGGCCCCAAAGCCCGACTTTAATTTAGATAAATATTTTGAACCATCTTGTGGCATCTCCGGTTCTTTCAGAAAGCACAAAAACAGTGACTAGGAGGACAGACTCCCCCCCACCCCCCAAAAAAAAATCCACAAAATAAATACTGTAGGAAAATTCAGGAGTAGTACAACGGCGGTGGAATTTTACACATTTGTTGTCACTTTTCCTCTTTCCACACCTTAAATTTATGGGGCTTTACAAAAATAGCTCATTTGCCTCTCAGGAATTCCAGCCGCCGGAGGGTATCACAAGTAAATCAAACAAACAGAAGCTGTTTTTTCAGTTGCTGAAGGCGCAAAAGCATCTCCGGTGAAGGTATTTGAAGCCTTTTTTTTTAGCTGCAAAGGAGTTTTATCCTGAGGAGGAAATGCAGAATAGCATTCTTTTCTGAATTACTACTAAAATGCATTACTTTCCAATTTTACATGATAAGGCCTCTTTGCTGTTGCTGTTGTTGTTGTCATTGTTGAATAACCCCCAACTGGGTCCCAAAGCGGCTCCTAAAGCCGCAGCGACTCGGGTACCTGCAAACCCAGTTGTCAGCTGTTGACTGGGAACTGTCCGTAGCCCCAAGACACGCCCAACACCGCTTGGGGGTCATTCCCGAGTTGTACTGCTGTTGCAAAATTGTGTAGTTGTACCGTCTTACATTGTTGGCAACACTATCTTGAGTAATCAATTTTCACGTGTCCCTTGATTAGTGAAGAGAACGAAATTTTCGGTTGTTGTCATAGTCATGAAACACACTAAAGTAATAATTAATTCTGAATCAAGTTTTGGGGCTTTTAAGAAGTTGTTAAGTTGGATTTAACAAGGAGGCAGCAGAAGAATAGGGTCACGTACACACACTCTTACAAAGTCTTGATGGGATAGATTTAAAATGGGGATTTTAACAGGGCCAGGAATTGAAATTGGTATGAAAGATATAGGCTGAGCAAATCGCAAAGAGAAAATGTGGAATATAAATTGGCCATTAATCCAAATATTGGCACAAAGCTGAACGCCCTCGAGGTGAAGCGTTTCATCTCAATATGCATTAATGTCCCAAAGGAGCTCGACAAGAAGTAATACTTGCAGGCAAGAGGGGGAGGCAACAGTCACCAGACTGCCGTTCAAATGAGAAGCAATCATGCTAAGAGGTCATTTCCTCTAAAAAAAAATAAAATAAAATAAATCCCAAACCTCTCCTTTCAACCTGCATTGGTGTTTATTTCTTTCCTTCTCTTTATGCCCTCTTTGCTCTGCTGTTAACTTCATTCTGTTCTTAAGTTGTCGCCACGGACAAGATAAATGGAACAATCTGCAGGCTAATAAATGAGACTTTCAGACATTAAATGCCCTTGTACAACGTCCTCTTTTCTCTAATAATATTTTCATTAAGGATCTTTGAAAAAATGTATTGTATTCAACATTTATTTAAATATTTTTGAATTTTGTCTTTATAGTTTGTTCTAAAATATTTCTTGAGATAACAAAAACTTTCATGTACAATCCCATTGAATTGAGTCATTGAAGTTTTTTTTTTTTTTTTTTTTTTTACATACATTTACCTATATTTAAGCGCACAGTGCTAATGTTCAAACGGTACATAATGTTATAGTAGCTTATGATCTTCAGTATACATTTTTGGTATAAAATCTCTGCCTCCACTACTGTACCTTAATGTTGTTCATTGTGTGGTACTTAAAGAGGCAAGTATAAATTTTGAGGTGGTGTAAAAAGTTTGAAAACCATTCATCTAGAACAAGTAATAATATTAGTAAGTTTTGATGTGACTTACTGGTCGCCATCCAGCAACAAGGATAACCATTGTCAAGCACTGATGATGTCATGGCTAGGCAGTGCGATGATGTGTGATAATCCGTGTTTTGTGTGTCTTCAGAGACTTTGCCTACGTGGCAAGGGACAAAAACACGCGGGTGCTCAAGTGTCACGTGTTCCGATGTGATACGCCCGCCGCAGCCATCGCCACAAGTCTTCACGAAATCTGCTCCAAGGTGGGTGCCATTCCCAGTCCAACCTCTATCTTTAGGAGTGGCGCTGTCAAACTTTCACACCGTGGTGGCTGTTAAAATGAGCGGCTTAACCACTGTAATGTATGACTTCCACGAGGAACCGGCGTGTGTAAGGTCAACAACAGATCTGCAACTACAGATCTTCTCCATTAAGCCCCTACCCCATTGAGCTCTTTTTTTAGAACACCAAAAATAACAGCCAAGATGAGTACCTATGCACAGGAGCTCTTCTTGGAAGGAGTGTGGCACAAATTTGGCCAACCATACTCATATATTCAGGTTATGTTCTAAATTGGCCATGTTCTAGAAAGATGTTTTTGATGCTCTTAAAATTATTTTCAAACAGAATATTATTCCACAAATCCAGGTAATAGCATCATTGGGAATGACAGCGAAGGGTATAGGCAGAGAAGCAAAATATCTGCTCAACATACTACTCACGGCAGCATTAAAATGTGTGACTATCAAGTGGCTGAGGCCAGAAATTCCCCCGCCCCCACTCCTCCTCAATTCTT